TTTTTTTTTTTTTTTTACCTGCAATTATTCGTATGATGATGGCGTTGAATTTGAGTAAATTTTTCCATTGATAGGATTATTACTAGGAAAATGTAGTATATGGTAGTTCACCAGTAGATCTTAATAATTGTATTAGTGATTTTTTGGTGCTTAATTTGTTCGGATTATGTGAGGTTCTGTCGTCTTTGGCAGCGAGCGACAGTGCTAATTTGTGTGATGACTGATACATTCATTTGGTTGTTCGAATGCTGCTGCCTTTTATTTTAGTTCATCTCATGTTTCTTGCAATTGTTGGATTGGAGTCCTTACAGCTCTTCCAGTGCAGTTAAATGGAAATACATTTGTCTTGTGTAGCTTGTTGAATGATGGCATTGCGTTTAATCGAGTACCTTTCCTTCGTTATAGATGATGAGCTAGTCTGCTCCATGTTAATTCTTTTGTTATGCCAAGAGAATGTATATAAAAATTTGGAAGGAGAACAAATTCGGTGATTAAGTGTTAGTTGGTTTTGGATTTATGTTGTGTTGACATTTATCTTTGGAATTTGGATGCACGAGCAACTGAAAGAGTTGGGTTATGTTTGATGGTTGTATGAATTGAATAATTTATTGCAGCATGATGAACCTGTGATTGAAGAAGACGATGATGATGAGGATGATGATGACGTGGATGAAGATGATGCTGAAGGTATGTGTACTGTAATTCACTTTAAAAATTCAGTTTATGTTTTCTGGGCTGAAGGTTATTGAGGTATAGGTATGTGATTGTCAATGCTACGTAAATTAAGTTGTAGAATCTGGGTTTGGTGGTGGTTAGAATTGGTTTCTGTTGTAGAAAGTCATCTTTACAGGGTCTTAGGAGTTTTTTTGAAAACGGAACAAACTTTTAGTTCCAATTTTGGTTCGCTTTTTTACTTTAAATTTGTGAGTAGAGTAATTAAATTTTTCAGTCAGAAGGTAGAAAATACTGATTTTATTTTTTCATCTCTGAATGAACACTTACTGTAGATAACGGACTGGTGAAGTTTTCTGATCAATGTATTCTGCATTTTGGTATTCTTGTAAAATATGGTGTTTTTTCTTTTTTTCTTTTTGAAGGTCAAGAAGACGGCAGTGGCAAGACAAAGCAAAGCCGAAGTGAGAAGAAGAGCCGCAAGGCAATGCTCAAACTTGGAATGAAACCCATTCTTGGGGTCACCCGAGTCACCATTAAGAAGAGTAAAAATGTAGGTTCATGTCTAGCTGCAGTTCAATAAATAACAATAAATAATTTACAATTACACTCAAGAAACTTGAGGTTTATCTTAGTCAAAACTCGAGCAATCTTTCACAAGTTTCTAATCAATTTCACCAGCAAGTGGGATGTTTGCAAAATTTTGAAATATGGTTAGAAATCTTCGTATATGCGCTAAACTCGAGTGGCTGATTTGTAACTGCCCTTTAATAATTTGGTGTTCTTTGCTCCAACCACAAACTCATAATTTTTCGCCCCAGATCCTTTTCGTCATCTCGAAGCCTGACATTTTCAAAAGCCCAAATTCGGACACATACGTCGTTTTTGGCGAAGCAAAGATTGAGGATTTGAGCTCACAATTGCAAACTCAAGCTGCAGAGCAATTCAAGGCTCCTCACTTAAATCATGCTGCACCAAAGACCGAGCCATCTGTTTTAGCCCAGGATGATGACGAGGATGTGGACGAGAGTGGAGTCGAGCCAAAGGATATTGAGCTCGTGATGACTCAGGCTGGGGTTTCCCGAGCCAGGGCAGTCAAAGCTCTCAAGCAATCAGATGGAGATATTGTCTCTGCAATCATGGATCTTACCAATTAGATCGAGGTTTGTATTTCGGCTTCTTTTGTGGAAGATGTTTGTTTTTTTGGGTGGGATACGCTGAATTTTCCCGTTCGTTCCCTTTTTTGGTTAAACACGGTAAGATAACCTTGATTCGTATGCGAAGTCCTACAATTGCTTAGAGATTCTTGCTTGTGGGTTGTGTTTTGTATGTGGGAGGATTTTAGATAAGGGTATGGATGGAGATGAAATTTAAGATCTGCCCAAGCTCCTTTTTTGAATTTCAACTACTCAATATCATCAGTGTGTTTTATTTTGAACTTAATTTGTGTAAATTGAAGGGTGGAAACTTATTTACATTAAAACTCAGTAAAACAGTTTCCACAAACGATTTTGCAATAAAAATGAAACTCAAAATCGCATTTTGCTTTCCTTTAAAACAACTACCAACTAAACTGTAAATTGAGAAGCTCCATAATGAATTAAGAAACAAACAAACAAACCTTAAACATATAAAAGTCATGGAGGAACAATTACAAGCTGGATTTAGAGCCGTAAATGAGCCTAGTCTAGTTCGAACTCCTAATACACAAATTCGGGCTCTAGTCCATTTCGAGTCGAGCTGAGCTTAAGCCTTCACGAGCTCATATATGCCTTCACGAGCTCATATATGATAAATGCTCGGAAATTATGTAAGAATCTTATTTATCAATTCTAACTAGCCACAAGTGAGCTGCTTGTTTAATCACCAAACAAGAAACAAGAACCCAAACAAACAGTTGATCGAAACTAAAAGGTGAATTTTTTTTTTTAAAGGAATTGCATATTCATCTACAACATCAAAGATTGCGGTCAAAAATTTTGACTCTAGAACTTTGATCCGTACGAAAGAATCTATTCCTTCACCATATAACACTGCTCAGGCATCTCCGGCAAAATTTCTCTAGCCTCTAACATTTTCCGACCAACAAAATCCCCCCTTTTCTTTGGCCGGTTACCATTCACCTTGGATTTTCCGGTTGGGGGTTCCGGTGATGGAGATCATAAGATATAAAAGCAAATTAATGGGCTTGTAATTGGGCTAGGCTTTGTTATAGGTCAGGTTAATAAATCTGGTTCACTGGGCTCTCTAATGCATCACTTTAATGTAACTAGACCAAGAAAGTGGCCAAGGCCCAAGCGGTAGCAATGTCAGGTGTTACGGACTGAATGGAAACTGTCCATCGCATGTTTTGACGAAATTGTGTATCTACAATTTTAAATATCATATTTTTCTTTACGATGTATATATATATATTTATGGAAAATACTACAGTTCCGTTACAGAACCATTCCGTCGGGATTTATAACCGTTAGATCAACTATCCCTGACGGTTACATGATGATCTAACGGTTACAAATCTCGACGGAATGGTTCCGTAATGGGACTGCAGCATCTTTCATATATTTATATATAAAATGTGATAAAAGTATACATATTTAAGAGGTTATATCGTCATTTAAACTACTATTGGATATGAAATTAAGTGATCATTCAATTTTGTTGAACTCTTAATAAAATTGATAATAATTTTTGAGAAGGATGCATAATTATGACTACAACATAAAGGACCATTAGAGATCTTAATTTGAATACAACGATTGAAGGTGCCAAAGGAAATTACGTACTCATCAATGTATTAATACCCTTCAAGACAACTGAATCTCGATGGTCCATATCTATTTATTACACAAAATCTTTTGTGGTAAAAAATAGAACTCTTACTATGAAATCATTTCAATATTAAAGTCTCAAAACAAATTTCTGAACCGAAATTATCCTCACCAAGATTATTATTGACGTACTTAAAAATTTGGGGAAATGCTACGGTCCCGTTACAGAATCATTCTGTTGGGTTTGTAACAGTTGGATCAACTATTCTCGACGGTTACATTATGATCTAACGGTTATAAACCCCGACGAAATGATTTCGTAACGGATAGCAAAACGCCTAAAAATGATGTATGTAGCTTCTTTTTTTAGAGAGCCCAAAGGAAATAAAGCAAATCGTAAATCTTCGCTCTTTTATCTTTTTGCTTCAAAAGTAAAGACAAAAAAACAACGTGATTGATGATCCCGATAAATATAATTAGAACTTTTAATTACAGGTAGATTTATTATTATCTTTAACTAAAGTGAAAGCAACACACGTGTGGTCACACCATGAGATTATTTAAGTGGGCCACGAAATAGATGGATTGGGCCTGTAGAAGAAGAAAAAGTGGCTTAAACACGCCTCTTTTTTTTATTATATATATATATTTAAACTCATTTTTAATTACATTGAATGCATAATACGTGTCTCTATCATATTATTACAATTATAAACATGATTTGAATTGAAATATAATCTTGAAATTAGAAATCATCTCGGGGCACAATTGTAACTAATCTTTTAAACAAAGTATGATCATGCATCTTGTCTTGTTAAGGCTCGACTCGGCTCATTTATTTCATAAGCAATTTGAGCTCGAGCTTGTTTAGTTCACGAGTCGTGCCCGATTCGACTTGACATGTTAGACTTGATAAATGAAAGTTCTTCATGTAATTTTTTGAGCTTTTATCATACGCCAGCAGAAAAAACTCTAAATTTGGTTGTTAAGGCTCGTTGTTGAGCCGAGGCTCGAAAACCAACTCAAATATCATAAACTCGAACTCAAGTTTGCTCGTTTATAGCTCGAAAACTCCATAAGAGTGAAATTTTAAATCTTAATTTGCTCTATAGAGATGGTGGCCGCTATTTGATATACTCGAATCCTATTTATTATTATTGTTTTGTTTTATTGAAATTGAGAAATAAATATCAATAAATGTCCCCTATAAACTATAGTACTTTGGATACTTCCATTTTCACACTATTCCTTATAACACACTTATAAAATAAAAAGGTTAGAGATCAAAATAAAGCATTTATATATATATTTTTTTTAAATTATTTTTGTTAAAACATACAACTAAAACAGCCCATTAAGAGTAATAAATGACAAATGAATAACAACATCTGCATTAATATATCCTACGGACTCGTTGAAATAAGTACACACCTTTTGTACGTCATGCAATTAAATTCAATAATTCACAACGAAAATGACAAAATTTAGTTTGTTTCTATATCGTACTTTAATAACGTGGCATTTTAGTAACCAATGTTATACCATTTTATTATATATTTTATAAAAATTATGTGTACCACACTAATAAATAATAATCAATCAAATGAGATATTGTTGTGGAAAAATTGTCCACAAATATGAGCCCACATTATGGCCGATCTACAAACATGAAACGAACAAGCACCTATCACAATATATAATAGCAAAATTGCATATTTATTAATACACCGTCTTTCATGTTTTTACAATTTAATCACCATCTTTGAAATTTTACAAACTAATACACTACATTTATCATTTTTGTAAATCGATACATGAACGACGGTCCCGTTAACAAAAATCTAACGGAAGTCTGACGTGGCATTAAGCCACGTCAATGCCATGTCAGATATCTGTTAATGGAACCGTCATTCATGTAACGATTTGCAAAAATGGTAAATGTGGTGTATTAATTTGCACAATTTCAAAAGTGGTGACCAGATTGTAAAAACATGAAAGATGGTGTATTAATGCCTATATAATATAATGTTGCAATATTTTATAATAGTTATACAAATCTAATGAAAAAATATAGTATGTGTATTTTTTTCGACTTATCACATCACTACAAAAAAAACTCTTACATTCCAACGGATATTTTCCGTTGAAATTTTTTATATTTCCGTTGGAATAGTTATTCCAATGGATATTCCTACGTATAAAAATCCGTTGAAAAAACGACCGTTGGAATAGCAAATATCAAACGGAAAATCCTATAGAAATAAATTCATACAGCTATTCCAATAGAAAAAATCCGTTGGAATTCCTCAACTATCCAACACTTATTCCAACATAAAATTAAGTTTGTTGGAATATTCATTGGAATTTCCAACGAAAAGTTATGTAGTGCATGTATTAAACAGATTGTTATTGGATATGTCTATGGTTACATAGTCATACTTTTTTAATAGATGTTTGTATTTTCATAATATAATTATTTATTTTTGTTAAAAAAAAATATGACGAATCGATTCAACTATACGATTAAACCACATCATCATGTAATAATTCGTATGATGATAACAAATAATTTGATTAGGAAAATAGGTGATTTAATTTTTTAAATATATATATAAGTTTCACTTGGACAATCCTAAGGTCTTACAATACTTAATGCATTTCCTATTGCGTGGCAATTTGTAATAAAATCATAGGAAAATGACAAATCATAATGTGTATACAAATTGGTGCCCCCACATATACATAGGTACGAGACCAAGTCTCCATAATTCATTTACTTCATTCGAAAATGTGTCTCCTAATTTTTTTATTTTTATTTTTTCGTACCAATTGTGCTAATATAACCTTTCATTTTTCATTTATTGGGATTTTTTTTTTTAAACTAATATCACGTTAGCACAAAAATCATGTCAATTTACAGTCAATTATCCTTTAAATGGACTTGTTAGTCGATAGAGTTAGTTCGCTTAAACAGCTCAGTTCAGTTCGGCTCGGCTCGTAAAAAATCAACTCACCCATTTATTCAAATAAGTCGAACACGAAGAATTAACTAAACTTGCTTATAAACAAACCAACTTGTGAGCTTATTTGAGAAAACTCATTTTTTACTATTTTTTTGTATGTTTTTCTTAATGATATAGTTGATGAGAATTTCTTCGACACCGAAACATTTTGCGAATATTCTGATTAGAGTTTTTGCTTTATTAAACGAACTGAGTCGATAATTCAAGAACTTGAGCGAGTCGAGTCTATTATTCGTTTATTAAATGAGTCTAACCGAGTCGATTCATTTACTAAACATGCATAATCTTGAACATGAACTACTCGCTTCGAATCTTCTCAAATAATAACCCTAAGTTTAATAGCGCTATCAATTATTTTTCTAA